TAATTATATATAATTTTTTTATTATTTTTATTTTTTATTATAAATTTATTTTTCAGTTATTTTTTAATAAAAATATTTTATAATATAAAAATAATAAATAAAAAGAAATATTTAAAAATAAAAAAATATAATTATTATACAGATTATATAAATAAAATTTATTATATAATTAAACAAAACTAATTAGTTTTGATAATTTAATTTTTAATAGTTAAATTTTTTATTTTTTTTAAGTATCTCATTTATTTGCTTAATATATATTAAATTATAAATTATAAACTTTATTCTAATATAAAAATAAAATTTTTCTTAATAATTAAAACTTTAATATAAAGAGAAATTTTAATTTTGCTAATAAAATTTCAATATTTATTGAATTATTCTTAATTAAAATAAATTTTTTAGATAAATTTTTTAGAAAATAATAAAACTAATAAAAATATATTAATAAATTGATAAAATTACTAGAACTGCTAAAATATAAATAATATATTAGTAAAGTAATAAAATAATCCTTTAAATTATTATAATATAAATAATATAATTAAATTTCTCTATAATTATATTTCTTAATTTCTTATAATTATTTAATTTTTTTAAGACTTGTAATAATTAGTTTATGTTTAATAAATTCTTTTATTTGATATTTCTAAAGATATTTATTAATAGGTTTGCCAAAATAATACTAGAACTATTTTATTAAATCGATAACTAAATGACTATTATCAAGTATAAAGGAAATATATAAAAAAATTATCAAAGGATAATGTATTATTATAAATCATATTAAAACAGACATTCCCCATTTTTTTAGAATAGTTATACAAAACTCGTTATAATAAAATGTGACGAAAAAAATTATCTTTCCCAAAAACACAATACATATAAAGAAAATTGAAAAACACAAAAGAAAACCATTTCATTAAACGAGCTTTGTCATAAAATTACAGATCTAGATTGGCACTTCGCCATTTTGCGAGGGAAGTGTACTACATGTATTTCTTCTCTTCATTCAATGATTAGATATGTTATTTTCAAAGTATTCAATTTGGCATCATTCTATTGTTGTCAAACACGGGTAAACTGAACATTTAAAAAACTTGAGACACGGACAATTCCGTCTTTATGAGAACGTCATGTTAATTTAGCAACACTAATCCCTTTGATTACGAACAATAAAAAGAATATAAAAGGAGAGGAAAATGTTACGTCACTCAGAATTTTCCTTTTTGGAGTAAATTGAGTTGCTGTTACACACAGGAGGTTCTTCGGGCAGATGGCAAAGAAATTCCTATATCAAGTTAGCATTTTTTCAACTTGTGATGTGCTCGGATGAAGCACAACATTTTTTATTAATTAATTTATTAATTCGGATCGAAATTTTTAAAAGTTTCAATCGTCGTAATTGGTCTTCTTTAGTTTATATCATGTTCTATGCGTTTATTCTTTCGTTCTACACGTTATTCTTTCACTGCAGATTTTTAACTCGTGCATATGAAAAATATTAAATCAGACAATCTTTAAGGTGCAGTCAATGTATCAAAGGATTAATTTATTTTCCGATATACTGCATATCTACATACATGTAGAAGAAAGCTATTGTGACGTTGATGACGCACCTGCAATCTTTAACATGTGCTACGCCATGTTTAATATTAGATTGATAATAAAGTTTTGTGATTCGCATGGTTTTGAAGTCATATATATTTCTTTTATCTCGACAATCAAAACCTGTTCAAAACGGGATTATTATAGTCAATACGTAATTATTCCTATGAATTTTAATTGATGTAAATGTTCGTACGGATTTAACACTTGCTTTTTATCTCCCTCCATTTTTCTTGCGTCACGCTTTAGCATAGTTCTTTGTTCATAGAAGCATACGATATTTTTTCGGACATTGTAGCTTTTCAAACTACTATTGTTACGTATCGGTATTGTTAATCCAGAAAATCAAGTATCAGACTTGTTGTCAATTATGTCAATTACGACGCTTATACCATCATCCCCACAAATACAAAAGATCATCCCACCTCGGGATTCAATAAAAAAAAAAAGGGTTTATTTATTTACTATTCTTTTTGGTGAATCTTGAGTCACACACACAGAGATTTTCGTAATCTCATAAACGCATTCATCCCAAAACACGAAAGCGAATTTTTCATGATGACGTGTCAAAAGTTTTTATACCCTTTCTTAAATAGGATGATGAATGCAAGTTTATTATTAATCATCGGTGTATGCCAAGTATTTAGTCTTTCTTTTTAGAATTTAGTATGTAAAAGTATGAATATTAATTATTGTGTCCGACTTATTTAATTTTTCATTTAACAAATATCATTCATCGTTCTTAAAAAGAGATAATGATAGTTAGTTGATGTGATTTGAAATCGAAATTTCCTAATCGAAATCCATCGTATATTTTAAGACGTGTGTGCAATATCCTTCGTCACATTTACAGGAATAAAGAACAAACCTGCTAAGTGACCATTACTGTTTTTTGTGTTTGAATGCGCAAAAGATTTACCATTTTTTGCGTTAAAATGAAAGCTTATATTTAGGTCACTGATTTGAGATTAGACACTATGTATCGTTATAGTATAAGTGTTCGGCTATAATGAAATATTATTTTATGGCCAAGAAATATCACGCCTTAAAATAATCTTTTTAACCATTTGAAAATCATTTTACTTAATTCTTTTGGTCGTTATCAGTACACATGGCGTATTCGATGAGCTGTGGAATAGATCAAAATTGGACAAAGGCGAGTGCATGATTGTCACGAGAGGATCAAATTAGTTTAGTTTCGAATAATTTCTAAATAAAAAGGGGGTAAACAATTCGTACCTCGAGTTTTTTGATCTTTTTCGAATTTCAAAAAATTTTTACATCTATTGATGATTTTTTCGGGCAAACAATCTTTTGAATTATTACAAATTTCGAAACAATAACGATAAAAGATTAGATTGTATCTTTCCTCGATGCAAGGCAGGGAAAAACAAACCAAAAATAAAAAATGATATGGATAGGTGTTGGGATGCTAAGGAGGGTGGTGAAAGTGTTTCGGAGTGTGAGAGTATTTTATTTATTCCCAGGCCCAGTGCATCTTTTCTTTTTACCGTTGCTTTCTTGCTCGTAAATGTATGCGTGTATCGTGGTTTGTGTTCGGGAAGTTATTTTTAGTTACATTTCAAACTCGAACCGGTTGCATGTCTTCCTATATATATATCAATATACCGTGCATACGTATGCATGAAAATTAAAAAATGTTAAAACTTGTTATCGTAATTCTTTATCCTCAAACAATACTCGTTTTACAGTTCGGTTGTGCTGGTAATCTCCGTTTTCCCATCGTGAGAGAATGATCGCGAGTTCTACGGCTAGTTGAACTAAGAGACTAGTTGGCTAACTAGTTGATTCACCTAAAAAATCCTTAAATAAAAAAGCCTCATATGCCAATCTCTACCATGTTGAAATTTTACCGCCGAACGTTATTATTAGCTAGACTTAGATTTAACAAAAAATTAGCAGACAGATATTGCGAATTTATTACTACCACTTTCAAAGATTTGATAATTACTATGCACAGAAAACATACAAAGAAAACATAGAAAAACCAAGGAAAAAAATTATGTAATAGTTCTATGATTTGTCTTCGTATTTCTGCTGCAAATCTGTCTACATTGATTTGTAATTAAATCTCGATGTACACCAAACATAGGGCGTATATTAAAAATTATTAAAAAAGGCAAAAAACAAAATATCATTCTTCAAATGGCACAACAATGAACTCGTTTACTTTTTTAATCGACTGAAAATTTTATTCGAAATTCCTCAAATCTATGTACTTTAATTCATAATGCTTGAAACTATTTTTTTGTTTTCGGAAAGTTTTTCTTCTACTCCCATTATGTTTTAAGATTACGGGGTTGACACCAAGAAAAAGTGTATGAAATGCTTGTATTAAAGAGGTTTCTTTTTATGAAGACTTAATTAATAATAGTTACATTAAGAAACTTCTTGGATTTAAAGAGCAAATAAAAATAATTACTATACAACAAACCATTCCTATTCTAGCGAAATGACCAAAAAAAAGTTATCTAGCGACATGTCCCTCCCCCTTTACAAAGATAATTTTAGCGATATTTTTTTATGAAAACTCCTTTTGTCACTCCTATTATAATAAATAATAATAACAATAATACAATACATCTCTTTATTATTTATGCAGTGATTATTTTAATACGTGCAGTAAAAAATATATATATATATACATAGCATGTATACTGGTCAAACCCCTAATTCATTTATTGATTCATACTCCCTTTTGACTCCCAATCAATAAGAGTACACATGTACATAACGATAAATAAATTAAAAAGCTAATTATTTTGCTTTTTGCTTTTTTTGGATGTTTTTTAATTCGGGATAACACGTACATGTAATATTTTTTTATTTTATTTTTTTCATGTATTTTTTTTATCTGCTTGACTATTCTCGAGCAGTTTTTTTCTTGACTCCATCTCACGCGCATTTATCTCGAATTTTCTTAAATTGGTTAACCCATTTTCTGCGCTCAGAATTCAATAGTCCTTTTGTTGCCGTGCGCATACTTTAATAATAAAATACAATCTTTTTTTTCATTTTTAACACACTACCCGCTATTGTTGTCCCTGTTTGCTGGGTCTCTGTATATTATTTACATACACATACACACGCTTAACAAACATACACGAAACAGAACAAACATACAAAACAATAGTATCATCATTATAATCCTTCTCGTTTCAAAGAAAAGCAAACTTTCTTCTTTTGATATATTCCTCATTTAAGAGAAGACGACGACTGTTCACTCTTTTCCTGTCCTGTTGGGAAAAAGATAAACTTGTAGCGGCAGCAAAACAATACACAACTTCCACTTACCCGTTAACTATTATCGGACGGACGGCGCGGAAATAAGAAAACTGGACTTTTTAAGGCAGGTTCAGAGTGGCGGCATAATGGGACCCAAACCTCATGGCAACCCCCTAAACAAACATGTAAGTTTCTTCTATCTCGGAATATTTCATCCAATTTCAGCCAATTCAGCTAATTCAGCCATGGCTTCCTCTAATGTTGATAGAAACTTCAATTGGGCGATTGTCTTGGGAAAGGAGCGTTTGGGTCGGTTTATCGCGCTTTAAACTGGGAGACTGGTGAGGCGTATGCAGTGAAGCAAGTGAAACTTAGTAATATACATAAGGCAGAACTCGATGTTATAATGGTATGTGTTTTTAATCACCACTCATAATAGCTGTTCGTTTGGCTTATTCTCCTTATTAAATCGTTTGGATTTTTAGAGAGAGATTGAGCTGTTGAGTATACTTAATGTAAGCATTCTCTTTTTCCGAATATCTTTGACTCGTTTTCGAACGACGTACTAATTTTTATGATTATACATAGCATGATAATATTGTAAAATATATTGGATTTGAAAAGAGCAACGAGTCATTGTTCATAGTCTTAGAGTAAGTGTTTTTCATTTATAACCAATTGACGTGATTCAGGTATATCTTATATTTTGACATTTGGATCTGAACCATCTTTACAAGATACTGCGAAAATGGCTCACTCCACACAATATGCAAAAAATTCGGAAAATTTCCCGAACACCTTGTAGCATTTTATATCGGCCAAGTTCTCGACGGTCTATTATATCTGCACGAGCAAGGAGTTATCCATCGTGACATCAAAGGCGCGAACATACTAACTACAAAAGAAGGCCGAGTGAAATTAGCAGATTTCGGTGTCGCCACCAAAACAAACGCGTTAAATGATTATGCGGTAGTTGGCTCTCCGTACTGGATGGCGCCAGAGATCATCGAGCTATCAGGCGCGACAACCGCATCAGATATTTGGAGTGTCGGATGTGTCGTGATAGAGTTACTGGAAGGAAAGCCGCCATACTCATATTTGGACCCAATGCCGGCGTTGTTCCGGGTTGTGCAGGATGAACATCCGCCATTGCCAGAGAGCGCGTCGCCGGCGGTCAGGAATTTTTTGATGCAATGTTTTCAGAAAGATGCTAATTTGAGAGTTTCGGCGAAAAAATTGTTGAAACATCCATGGATTGTTAGCGCTCGTGGTGGAATGGGTACAATAACAAAAAAGACACTGCCACGATCTATGAAAGTACCTATTACCACCGAATATGAGGAAGTTGTACAAAGTGTTAAAGATTATAATATGGCATTAGACGAGACAAATAGCACAACTTCCCGGAGGCGAAGTTCCGTGTCGAGAAGGCCATCACGACTTTCTCTCTCATCCCCACACTCACCAATCCAACATCAACCGCTGACCAGTATTCCAGATTCTTCGTCCGCCTCGACAAATGCTAATACCAATCCATCCTCAGCATTATTATCTTCCTCATCGCCATCGCTACGCACACCTCGGCCTAATGATGCTGCCTCAAAAGTGAAACCTCCAAAATCATCAATGCTCGAAACTAGCAATAGGGACGCTGGATACGTGGACCCATCTTCAATTACCAACGATTTACATAAATCACGCGCGATTCCAGAACCGGATTCAGCAAACGACAATTGGGATAGTGATTTTGAGGATGCTATTCCGTACTCGAAAATCATTGCTTTACAAAAAGAGAAACGTGGTGCCGAAAGGAAAGGAAAAATGTCGGATTCGGGAGAAAAAGGAAACGATGACGAAAAAGAAGATGATGACGGAGACGAAGACGATGCGTCAACAATCCGACCAAACAAGTTCCAGTTAGATGAATTACGAGCTTCAACTTCAATTCTTACCGATTCTACTGCTGAATCAAGATCAAAATTAAATAACACTCAGATTAATAAACAATCTCATCATAAAAGTGATGATATCAATAATAATAACAATAGTTCTAGTGGGCAGACAAAACAAACTAATCTTATTCATAAGCCTTCCCCTGTTTTACCAAAAGATACTCAAATCACACCGCAATCTTCACGTAATAATCGGCCATTAACGCCACCAACATCACCACCAATGTCACCAGCATCGCCTCTGACTTCACTAACAACATTACCTTCAACGCAAATCAATTCTTCACAGAAACAACCACATCATACTCACAATCGTCATAATTCATATTATGACGAAGAAAGTCAAGTTGAATTTCATAAATATCGTGAACCGGACGAAGATAATTACGAGGATGCATTTTCTGATGGACAAGATGATGAAAACCTAATACTGAATACTCGTCTATCGAGCAGCAGTTGGCTCGGCGATGATTCAAGTGATGAAGATGATCCCTTTATTGAAATAGATGAAGGATTAAACGAAATGGATTTGCAGGCCAACATTGCAAGAGATAAATATGCCCGTGCTTGTGCGCGTCTCGCTTCTCTTATTAACACGCTACAACCAAATGAATCTGAAGATAAATTATCGAACATTTGTGAGGAAATTATACGATTATTAAAGGAGCATAAGGAACTCAAAAATCATCTCATCATTTTCCATGGCGTCATTCCAATATTGGAGATGTTGGAAATGTGCTCATCCGAAAAAGTGGTGAGTCGACTTCTTGTAATTGTTAATTCCATAATCAAGGATAATCAAAATCTTCAAGAGAATCTTTGCCTGGTTGGTGGAATTCCCGTGATTAAAAATTTCACTTCAAAACGCTATTCCTACGAGACTCGTCTTCAAGCTGGAATATTTATTCGACAAATGTGTCACACCTCAACGTTAACACTGCAAATGTTCGTCTCTTGTCGCGGACTCAAAGTACTTGTTGATTTTCTTGAAGAAGATTATACACTACACAAAGAACTTGTTTGGATTGCCGTCAATGGGATTTGGAGCGTGTTCGAGTTGCAAAGTCCAACGCCGAAAAACGACTTTTGCCGGTTATTTGCAAAAAGTGGATTATTAGATCCATTGTCGATTATTTTGCATCAGACACTAGAAGACAAGGATCCAGCAGCTGGTGAATATCTCGAAAAAATTGCGAGAATCTTTTTATTCTTTTCATCTGCTGAAGCTTATGTTAAAGAATCAATGGTCACCGGAAGAGTAATAACGCGGATTCTCGAGGATCTTTATAAGCTGCCATATGATATATGCGTGATTATGTTGAAATGCATAAAGAATTTATCAATGAATTCAAACACCCTGGAATCTTTACAAAGTGCTGGTGCAATTGAGGTATTAACAGAAATCTTAGTTCAAAAAGGCTCGCGAGACAGACCAGAGATTGCAAATCAAGTTCTCAATACGATGTTTAATCTTTGCCGAATAAATAAATCACGACAAGAGAAAGCAGCACAGGCGGGCATCATCCCTTATTTACAATCATTTGCGAAATCACAGCTTCGACAATTCGCCTTACCAATTCTATGCGACATGGCTCATGGAAACAGAGTTTGTCGTGATTTGCTTTGGAAAAATGATGGTCTTCGATTCTATATATCATTATTGATGGATCCGTATTGGCAAGTTAATGCATTGGAGGCAATTCTTGCTTGGCTACAAGGAGAAAAGCTACGCGTGGAACCGATTCTTTTGGAATCTCAGAATATTGAACGCATTCGTCAAGCATTTGTCACCGCTAAGGCATTTTCTTTTGAAAATATTCTGGAGCCATTGCACTTGATCACACGCCTATCACCGGAAATAGCGTATGCTTTGGCGAAGCCTGCATTCATTATACGCTTACTCCATCGTCTGAACCATAAGAAACCTATAGTACGATTGAATATCCTGAAAATTCTGAAATCATTATGTGATGCTTATCCCGCTGTCGTCGAACAGCACGAGATCTTATTTGATAAAATTAATCAAAAGATCAGAGAAGACCCTTCAATGCTAGTAAGAGAATTGGCCAAAGAAATCTTCAATACCTTAAAAGGATACATTAGATCTGGTGAAACGCAAAATCAGAAAAACTCTTTTCCAACACCTATCGAAGAAGAAGAAGAATATATTCAATCAACCGTCATTTTAATCGATAAGAATGCATTACGTGGAGAAGAACATGATACTTATGAACAATCTGAAGATGTCAAAGAGGACAGCGAAAAAATATATGCATCGAATAATAATTATGATAGTATCGTTAAGCAAGACGTAGATACAATAATAGGTATCAATAATAATACGGGTAATGTAAATAGTGAAAATAGAAGTTGACTACTGGCGGTTCCGACGAGAAATCATCGGAGCCAAAGTATAACAAATCGATCAACAGCTTCGCCAGTAAGAGTTCGTCCTCGCGCATTTTCAAGTCCGCTAGCACCTAATCCTCGACGATCAAAATCAATTTCAGCAGCTCAACCACGTCCGACATCCACTGGTTCATCTTTATCACCGGAAATATTAGCAATTAAGAACACACACCGACGTTTGTTATCTTCACCTTCAATGTCATCGGATCAGATGCGTTCTGTATCCTCTTCATCATCTTTCACACCACATACAAACGGCACCTCAACATCTTCACTCGTCACACCACCACCACCACCATCACCACAATCGGCAAACGTTAATAATCAGCAGAGAACATCAGCAGCTTCAAGTTCTAAAAATGCACCTCAAACGTCATCAGCTATTACTGAATTCGATTTCCCATATGATCATATCCGTAAACGTTCAGAATCACGTAAATCTCGACCAACCTCAACTCAAACAAATTTCATAATATCCGAATTATCATTACCCTCGACCAATATCGCAGCTGATCTAAAAACACCCGTGTCTAAGAAATCTATTAACAATACTATCACTTCGACGGCCTCAGTTTCTAGTTGCGACAGCGGCGTTACAAAATGCACATGTCCTGGATGTATAATGAAATGGGTGAAATCGAAATTAAGCAGAGGTACAACAAAAAAGAATAAAAAAAAGGGAAAAGAAAAAGAAAAGATTAACGATGACAATGACACAGTACTTGAAATGGAAAACTTCTTTTGAACATTTTGCAAATTTCTTGTTATATTTTTATTTTTTTCTTTCTATTCACATTCTTTCTTTGTAAATTGAAAAACACCTTCCATATATAATACTTTAATTTTTTTGATAATATTTTTTACTCTAACTAATAATTGAATTTTGTACACTATCGTTTATTGTTTAATGCATTGATGCATTCATTATTTAACTTTGTATATTATTTTTTGTGTATTGGTTGGAAATTTCTCTACGGATCAAAAAAAAGTTGCATACGTACTCATGTAATTTTAGTTTTCCCCGCTCTTTGAATTTAATACATAAGACAAGACAAAGTATATGAAATTGTATTTTTATCTGTAATTTTTATTGTATTTATTTTTTATTTCGGAAAACTAAAAAAGTAAATAAAAAAATCAAGACAGAACGCGCAAAACATAAAACCAGCTGAAACTTTTTTATAAGTTCAAAACATTTAAAAAATAACGATAAATTTGCAAGAAATATATCAATTTGTTATAAGTTTCTGAAATGAATCTAAATAGCATATTTATTAAGAGCATATAATTAAAACTTCCTTTTGACTTTTTTTTTGAATACTTATTTTTCGTTCGAGATTCATTTAAAATAACTAGATGATTATAATTTACATATTGATATCAATTAAATTTTAAGACATAATGTGTATTTTTGTATTTATTTATTGAAACAACTATAAAAACACAATATTTCGTCTTCAAAGAGGTAACATTTTGTCTTTCGACTTCCGAATATAAAAATGTCGAATACTCTACTTGCTTATGATTCGTCTAATAGTAATTAACTTTATTCGAAAGCTAGACGTTTCAAAAACGGCTAGATTCATATTTAAAATTCTGGCTTTAATATATTTTCAGGTATATTTTGATAATTTATTTTTGTTTCCACTTGTACAAATTACGATCGTGAAAACAACAGAAAATCATTAATAACTCAAGACTTTACTAAGATAATTGACTTTTGTTCTCCAGATAAAACTAATACAAGTATTCAACATGCAAACAATATGATTAATAGTAATATAAAATTTAATACAATACATACATGGAAATGGGGTGATACTCTAAATTTTATATATTTAAGATTGAAAAGTTTATTAAAAAAAATCTAAACTATACAAAAAAATATATGTAACAAAAAGTGCACGAATATAAGTGGGTTTACCTTATAAAATTCAAAATATGCCCTAAATTTAAAAAAACTTAATTTTCGATTATTTCTAATTTAGTACCCAATACCTGTCCAAGGTCACTTATATTCAAGGGTGTTCAGATACAAAAAATTTGTCTATTAAATTAGGAAAAATAATTTAGCTATCTTATAAATTATAAATTTATACATAATTCTAATATAAAATTTTCACTGATAAAATTCATCTTCTATTATTTGGTGTATTGATTCAATAATCCGAAAAAGATGAATGAGAGTTCAGCTAATACATGTAATACACCGGTTATGACATTCGCGTTATTATGACGAAAACTGTTCTATCCGAAGCTACATGTATATTAAATAACATGTTTGTTACTGTGATGTCATATTAACGGGAGTGGTTTTTATTTTATCTTTATCGTTATGAGTTATGTTAAAACTTGTTCGTCTTCTTTGATTATTAATATTAATTCATGTCTTATGTATATACATGCACATGTATTCAGTCCAAGTAATCTCAAGATCAATTCTTGTTGCTTTACGCAGAAACGGCACTATCATGTTAAATACGTGTGTTCCCACTAAAAGTGTTACAAATTAGTTAGGGAGAGGGAAAACACGCTGTGGGGAATAGCTTTCTTATGTAAAACAATCACCTAATATTTGTGTCACTTTCCTAATAAATGACTGCGTGAGAGCTAGCGAAAAAGTTTTTTATTTTTTTCGTTGTAGAATTGTGATGTTATCCAAAGATAAAAAATCACGTCATTATTTTTGTTAGTGGGTTTAAAGAAAATCTCAATTTAATATATATCTAACTCATAATCTTCCACTCTAAAAAAAACGAGGTATTGCTTATTTCTGGGCAGTCTTCTGGGCAGTCTCCTCACAGATCGAAATCATCATTTAACCAGTTAGTGTATGTGTTTATAATTCAAATAATTAAATATAATTCAAACATATTGATACTTATTCATAGTTTTACCACTTTTTTTGATCGAAATAGGGCTTATTCCGAATGGCGTAATAAAAATAATATACAGTCAAACTGTCACCATCCCGCCAATTACCCAAGACGAGGCTAAAAAAGAATTTTTACATAGTGGGATATTTTAACTGTTTCTGGATTCAAATTCGGCTTAACGATGTTGACCCATAATTATTTTTCTGAGAATATCAATATAATGCATAATAATAATTTCCGTGCAGAAGATTATCACATTGCAAAGAATACAAACAAAGGCATAACTAATTCGATGTTAGATTTTTGCAATTTAATATTTCTATTCTACATGTATACACATAAATTAATTGAAATTCACACAGTAATTAAGATTAATAATTTTATTTCAACATTTTGTTAATTACTGAAATTAATGAATTTTAACAAGTGATCTTATATTATTTTGTTAACTTGATTTTACGATTATTATAATTTATATTATAACTTTCATTATAATAATATTGAACATGATAATATTAGTATACAGTGGCGCTCAAAAGTAATGCATCACTAGGACGAAAAAACGAATCGTGGAATTTTTAGCAATATAGACGCCACAGGTAAATGAAACTTAGCCCATATATAGTTAAAAGCATAAATAAATAATACATACAATTTAAAGAATAAATGTAACACCACCACTTTGCTTAACTCGGACTTTATTACGCCAAACTGATGATGCATTTCTTTTGATCGTTTCCCCCCTCAAAACAAATATATAAATGGATAAAAAACACACAACAAAACAAAACACACCTATAAATAAAATACGCTTATGAATTCACTCTTTTATCTTGTATAATTAAAATTATTATGGCACATATTCCTGTTGAAAAAAGATCCCAAATTTATACCCTTCTTAAAGAAGCATATTCTTCCCGTTATATTGCAAATCGTGAAAATATTTCCCAATCCTCCGTTATAAGAATAAAGCAAAAAAAAAATACTCATAATACCTTTAAAAATTTACCAAAACCAGGTCATCCTAGAATTTTTACTGGACGTGATGAATGAAATATTATACATCTAATCTCGAATGGTAGTTTTCCCACTGTAACATCTATCCAAACAAAATTAAAAACTGATGATAAAACTGATGTCAGCACAAGCACAATAAAGAAAACCATATCTCAAAAAAAACACATCAAATTCAACGTTTAAAATTTCGCCATTGGACTATTAACGATTGGAGCAAAGTCATCTGGTCAGATGAATCGAAATTTATGATTTTTAATTCAGACGGACGTGAATATTACTGGAAACGTGATGATGAACCTTTTGAAAGAGCATCACGTAAAACCTACAGTAAAATTTGGGGGGTGGGAATATAATGGTTTGGGGTTGCTTCAGATTTTTCGGCGTTGGTAATATCGTACGCATTTATGGTCATATGGATAAGAATTTATATCGCGAATCTTAAATGATGAACTTTTAGGAACAATCCAGTGGTATGAAATTAATAAAAGATGTTGTCTTTCAAGACAATGATCCGAAACACATGGCAAAATCTACATACGAATGGTTTGATGATAATGATATCCGTTTGCTCGATTGGCCTCCAATCACCTGACTTAACCCAATTGAGCATCTCTGGAACGAAATAGATCGTCGTTTGAGAATGTCGTCAACTGGTATCCATACTCAAGA